AATTTTTCACATTTCTAGAATTGCTAAGGGATTATTATTTTTTCTTTGGGTTATGGTAGAGGGGGTATTTATAGGATTCAATTGGTGATTTTTCTTGATTTTTTTGGAATTTTTTTGGATTTATCTTGAAGTTTTATCTTTATCTAATTAAATTAAACGCCTTCACTGCATCATAATTAATTGCGTCTTGGCCTACCAAGCCGCGTTATAGTTCGGCCCACGGTAGCATACTTGGGTCTCACAGTGACAAAAATATCATTTGTTAAATCGTTTTATCCGTAGGTCCGATTCATACGATTTTTGGACTATTGGAAAGCTCTTGGGCTCTACTTCAAGTTGGGGTAGGTTTTAGTCAATTTTGAAGCATTTATATCGGGTCTAGCTTGCCTAAGATCTACTAGGGTTTGTGTGGCCCTTTAGGCTTAGAATCGTGTTTTTTGGGAGTTCCCTTAGCCAGATTTTTGAGGGGGTTGTCTACAAATAGGTGACGATTATTGAGGAAATTTGAGGTTGGTTACCATATGCATGTTTCAATTTGTTCATAAAATAAGATATAGGGGGTTGATTTTGGCCCGATAATTTGCTTGAAAAACCTATGTTCAAGCTGCTCGAAGAGCCCTAGTTCGATGTTCCATTTTGTCAATTTCATCTTCAATAGGTAATGATTATATATGAAAGTTGAGGGTTTTGAATTATAATCGAATTGGTTACCATATCCTTTACTCAATTTGTTCAAAGACCAAGAAATTGGGGGTTAATTTTGGCCTGAAAATTTGCTGCTCGAAGAACTTGTGTTCGATCCAAAAAACATATTTTGGATCAATTAACTGATCTTTTTTATCAAATTGGTTTGTGGATTTTGATCATCAAGGCTTCATTTATCATATAAAATAGGTTTGTTGATTTATAATTGAATAAAGGTTTTTATATGAATTTATTTCTTGCTCAATGTCATGAAAATTTCATGGTCTAAATTTTTTGTGATTTTTTAAATTAAATAAAAAATGCCAAATATTTTTGAATTAGATTTGGTGTGTTTGAAACATGATGGAATAAAGCGTTTGTGTTGATTTGTTTGATTTTCCAAACATTGAAGGTAGTTTTCTGCTTGAAATGTTGCTCAATTTTAGAGGTTATTGATGATAAACCGATTTTAAAAAAAAAAACAATTTTACTTAATATTATGAAGTTAATAAAATTATTTTGTATGATGAATATGGGAAGTGTTTTTCTATTTTGCTTATTAAAATTATGTTTTTTTTTTTAAAAAAAAGTATTTTTTTATGAATATGACAAAAAATCGGTTCTTATTTTTTAAATGTTTTTTTTTTTCTAACAAAAAAAAAAATAAATGCGTGATAATGTCGGTCTTACTTTTGCTCCATTTTTTATTGGTTCGATTTTTTTCATTATTATTTTTTAAGTGCCTGATATAGTTATATTTGTAATAATGGAAATGCGATTGTAATTATAATTGTTGTAATAATGGAATTGGGATTGTAATTGTGTAATGGAAATGAGATTATAATTGTGTTGGTAGAGGCATTCACAATTTCAAACTTTTTTATTATAAAAAAACATTGATCTTGCTTTTAAATAACTATCTTGGATTCTAATATTTACTTAGGATCAATAATGCCCAATTCCTTCTTACTATTTTCTTATTTTATTGTAAAAGCTATTGATATAGCTATTTAGTTTACTGCTCTATTAATGAATGTAATCATGACCTGTTAGTATGATTACTTCAAAACTTTTGTTGGACTAGAGAAACAAAGAAAATACATTAGAAAAACAATAGTATCTTGTCCCTTTGCTACTCTCATTACTACTAACTATCGTTAGTTGGACTTTGTAACTCCATCAATTAAATTGATGTCAAATTATATTAATTTTTGTAAAATTAATATAAATGTAGGCAAAAAGTATTTATATATTAATTTTTATAAAAAGTTGTTTCAATTTTTTTTTTGTAAGATAAATGTAGGCAAGAAGGTAATATACACTTAATATAAGTTTTTTTTTTGGGGGCAGGTTTTGACCCATTTAAAAAAAAAAATCCATCGGCTCGGTTAGTTTGGTTAATCATCCGATTAATCTAGTACGATTCTAACCGCTCCTAGCCCTATGTCCGGTTAACCGTTCCGGTTCGATTTTGCAAACACTATGAACGACCCATAAAATTGCATTTCTTGTCATTCCATTGATGCCAAGAGAGATGTCAAAAGTTTGTTTTATGTCATGCACCACCATATTTAGTGTAGAATGACTCACTTGGGTAAAAAGTCATCTAGGAAGTATTTTTTAGATAAAAAATTGAGTGATCACTTGAGAATAATCATAGACATATTTAAGAGAGGGTGCGCTTTGTATAGAGCCCAGGCGCTAAACAATCAAATTATAGCCTACTATCAAATAGCGTCAAGAAATATGGTTTCAATACTGAAAATCTTTGTAATAGCGTTAAAATATATTTACATCTTTATTTATAAAGTTTAAAGCTTAAAAAATAGTGTAGATCGATAGATCTATGAAAACTGGAAAATCTTGAAAATTGACAGTCCAAAAATGTGTTACAAAATATCCCATTTTCAAAACTTAAAATCCATTTTTTTTGTTTTTTGTTTTCTATGCATCTTGACTCGATATGATCAATTTGAGGATATTTGGGCATCCAAACAACATCTTCTAGTGAAACTTTTGAGGTAGGCTCAAATTGGATTGTTTAGAGTTTTCGCTCTATATAAATTTTTCCCTATAAGAAAAACAAATATTTTTGAATATCGAAATATTTAAATCTAACAATCCAAAATTAGACTGTCGGTATTAGGAGTTGTTCTTGACCACCATGGATAGTGGTCACAATTGTTTTTAGGGAGGGTACACAATGAGACCATTTCTACCTTTGATATCACAATTACTTACAACCATCCAATATGAAATTTGATAGCTTGGATGTGTCACAAAATTTGAGAAAATTTATTTTGAAGTTTGAGCTAGGACAATGGAATAAATGCAGCCACCCAATTCATAACCAATGGTCAAGATTAATTGTGACCATGTTGTATTAAAGGTAAATGATCTCATTCTATACTCTGCATTATTTTTGGGAGACTAGTGACTTTGTTGATAAGGACAAATCCCTAAAATTTGGAGGAGCACTAGTGACTTTGTTGATAAGGACAAATACCTAAACTTTGAGCTCCTCCAATGTTCATTTTACACTATGGATCATGCACCTCCACGTACACCTCCAAGGAGCATGTAACTATTGAGTTATTTGCTTTAGCTAATATTCTAAGGGAAATGTTGAGATTGATCCACTAGTTCACAACTACATATGAGCTAAATAGTCCAAATTGAATATGGATTTATCTAACGATCACGACCTCATTTCGTATTTATATTTTAATTTTTTTTATAAATCCAAATTACTTGAAATTTTGGGTTTGTATTTTTTAAAATTAGAAAAATCTTATAAAATATATAAAATAATAATTTGTAAAAAAATAAATAGATCAAAATACCCTCAAAATATTTTAAAGGTATTTTGGTTAATTTAGTTTTTGTAAATTATTTTTTTAATATTTTTATTAAGTCCATCGATACTTGATTACTACTCCATTGGATTGGATGACACCTGGTATTTCAAAGGTGGGCACAATTAAGTGGAGATCTATATAGGTAAGTATGATGGGTATTTAGAAAAAAAGAAATAGAATGGTATTTGATGGGATCTACATGGACATTTCAATGTTGAAGGCTTCGAGATTGGTTTCCCAAAACCCCAAATGACTACTAATCCTTGGGCAGGGATTGGTTTGTCTACTCAATCAAATCGAATTGCTGCTATCTAGAAACCACCACCTTCTAACTCACCTTCTAACTCATGTAAATTGAACTTTGATGGAAGTTTTTTAAAAAAATCCGGCCACAACTGGATTTGATGGACTAATGAGAGACCATAATGGGCACATTGTTTGTTCATACTCAATGCCCATGTGGTGTCATTACAGTGAATGAAGCAAAAGCTAGAGTTATTTTAGAAGGTATTAAGCTTCTAGTAGGATTTGAGAGAGGTAAGTTCATACAAGATCAGTCATAGAGTAAATAGAGTAAATGTGAAGCTAATATACCTTGAGGCTGACTAGTATATTTCATGACATGTGAGACATTCTATGTTGTCTAAATGCCGACATTCGCCATTGTTAGGCTAATGCAAAGGCCGACTCTCTCACTAAGGGAGATATCGTGGCCACCAACCACCGTTGGTGATCACCACTTCTAGTGAACAATGTACCACCTGTAATGATGATTTCTTAATGAAAGTTTTATGTTAATGTGTAAACAAATATATAAATAAACCCAATAAAGGCCATATTTTGTTCTCCTTAACGTGTACATTTATCTTCTCACCTAAATGATGTTTTTGGTACTATTAGGATATAAAAATTCGCTCAAAACTAGAATATAAAAGGAAAAAAAAAGAATACACATTTTATGATCTCATAATAGCTCAAAACTCTATCCCATCCATGGGAATAAACCTCAGCATGTATACCATGCTCCAATAGGAGCATACCCTTAGCGAATATTCCTTATTTGGAATACCTACTAAATTTTGAGAACCACTGAAGAATAAGTAAAAAATTATTTTACAAAAAATTTAAATTTTGGGTTTATCAATACTTAGATTTCACCAACCCAAAAATTTGAGTCTCAGCCATTATTTTTTCCCAAGTGCATATGAGTGTGAGATCTGAAAATTTCTTTTGTTGAGGTTACTCTATGCGTTAAAAAAGGTTTCATCTCTAAAATTTGGGGTCTTAAATTCTCCAAGATTAGGTTGTTTGCAAGGGAATAAATAGATGCTATTAGGGAGCATTAAATCTTTTGGCCTGAAATTTTGCACTTTGCTCCAATAGAACAAAGTAGGATTAGTTAGTAGTGTAGTACCTTGTGTAAGGGGGGAAGTGGAGAGAGAGAGAGAGAGAGGGGGGGAAGGGAACTTTAAAGGCCTTTTTTATTTTTTTCATAGCGTAAGAACGAATATCCACTTTTCCAAATACAGGCGCCAATTTTAGCCGCTCAAACCGCATTATTTGCGTCACATATCTCAGGACCCATTTATTTGATTCCAACTATCTCAAAGGAAGAGTAAAATCCCGATGCCTTTCCGGAAATCTTTGAAAAAAACTCTCTCTTTCCACCATTCTTAACTGCACAGGCATCTTCAAATATCAAACCTGCATGCATCAACCACGACGCCGTAGAATGAGCATATGCTGAATAATACTTTCAATATCCATAAATGAAAATATAATGCACAGATGCATGATTTTGTACACAAAAACATCCATGCATACAACATAAATGATTGGACACATGAATGCATGAGTATATCTTAACATTAGTGTTTTAAATCATGGACTCGGGCCTGAATCCATGTCATGCAACTCGACTCAGCCAAGTCCTAACAAAACTTGGCCGAGTCCTCGAAAAACTAAAAAAATGACTAAACAAAGCAAAAGTTGAAATAACATAGCAAAGAAAAGCAATTGAGGCCAAGTCATACCCTAATCCCCCATTCTACTCTATTCTACTTAATTGGGGTTGGTTACAAGAATCCTAGTCCCTCATTCTTTCTCTTTTTTTTTTATGAAAATTATCTTAGTCTCTCATTCTACTCTATTAGGGGCCATACCCTAAGATATGAGCAAAGCAAAAGTTGAATAACATAGCATGGACAACCCATATTGAATAGACCAAGAAAATTCATTGCACTTGACCAAGGGCCTTTGAGTGATCAACCGATTGAATTTGGACAAATTTTATACTTGGTTCACTTCAGCTCCTAAACATCCCCAATAAGCCTACGTCCCTCCCTCCCTTGCATAGACACTTCCCTTGGCACCGACTGTGAAAATACATGAGACATACAAGAGAAAAATGTAGTACAAGTGCCCCGATAATTCTCAATATTATAATCAGTTAGCATGACCAGTTAAACATCAAACAGAATAAAGGCCAAGGCATTACACCACGTATTGCCACAAGATAGACGAGGAAACCGGACCTATAGAAATCTGCTCAGAACAGGCAAGGATTGGCAAATCAGACTTGATTCTTCGGTGTGAGAATTGGTCCATAAAAATAAAAAGAAAAAAGATAAAATAACAAAACTAATAAAAAAATTTGATGTAGAGGAACACACTAAAAAATTTTAATGTAAAGGAAGCACACACGCGCACACAGATTTTAATGTAGAGGAGCAAAGTAAAAACCTTTCATGTGGAGGAACACACACACACGAGAGAATCCCAGGTGGAGATCGGCAAACATGCAGCAAAATGCACAAATCAGCTATAAAAAATCAGCCCTTACGACTTGGGCCCAGCCATGGGAAAACCATTCGATATCACGCTTATGTCCCATTCGATATCACGCTTAGGTCAGATACTTCAGCACTTCAAAAAATATCCAATATGATGCATGAAACTCATGCTCATGAGATACCAATACTTCTTTCAAACTCAATTGAAGAGGGGCAACCATTAAGGCCTGTTTAAGTATCCGTTAAAAGGATTGAAAGTATGCAGCAAGAGTTCTTAAGTTCGCTTAAATAAAACAACTTGGACTAGTTAAAAGCATATAAAAGAGCAAGTGGCTAAAACCAAATAGGAATCTCGAGGTTTTCAAACATTACAATCTATACATCTTCACATGAATTGATGATATTATTACTTCGATACATTTTAATATACTACTCGTCTAGAAGAAAATAAAAACCTAACACAAGATGTGAATATACATGTAAATTTTATAAGTGACTTCTAATTAAAATACTAAACTAATACAAATATGAAGGTAAAATATGTGAACAGTCAACATCGTAAAGGCAGATGCATGAAATACCAAATAGTAATTCTGTTGAATTTATCTCTTCAGTCAAAGATTCAAGTCACTTGATACTCAGCATACAAATATATCCAACACCATGCTAATCATGTAGATCTCATCCAAAACATTGCAATCTTCCAAGGTGCTGTAACTCTTTTCTCACCATCTGATCAAATTCATCAGATCAACTTCCACTTCAAGAAGCTTGTCAGATGGAAGTGGATTAGACCCAATTAAAAGGCTCTCGTGTTTGTTCCATTCCTACCACAGGTAGGGGACCCCTTCCCTACTGATCTGCCCCAAAAAAAGAAAAAAAAAAGAAGAAAAGATTCTCACATCCACTTCAACAGAATCAATAATGGGCATGGTGGTCCTCTAGATGCCTTCAACCTCTCTAATCCTAATAAGTTCCCCTGGCTTCCAAAGGCTCAGGTATCGGTGACATGGACAATTGTGTTTTAGGTCTGGACCTCTTCATTCTCACTCCATGTAGGTAATCGTCTAATTCCAAATCAAATTGAGGCCTCAGGACACTTTCCCATTCGATGCTCATAAAATGATGGACAAAGTGGCAAACAAATTTACCTGAGCAGCTTTCATTGGCATGAATTCACATCTAGTAATATGTTCTCTCAAAGAGTCCTCAGAAGACAGCCAAGAGACCAATCTTCCATATATTTCTCTATCTTTCAACAATTGGGGTCAAACCACAAAATTTGATTTCTAATGATGCAAGAATTATCCATGAGGGGCAGGAGATCCTCCATGCATACCCACAATGTAACCCTGATGTTGTTGTGCAGTCTATTGGCACCAAAAACCAAAGGAAGCACGCTAGGAAGATCTAGATCACTCCATACGATGCATCCATAAAACATATTGGGAAATCCCTTACAGACTAGTACAGGACTTGATGGCAAGGCTCTAAAATGAATGTAAACAACATGGATATAGTAGATCGACCTACCTCAAGACCCTTTGGAATCCAAATAAAAACTTGAGAGGATTTGTTTACTGTAATTGAGAAACAAAAGCTAACAGTTAATGAAAGAAGCAGCTACTGACACCGCTAATGATATCCAAATCCCACCCTACTTAACCGATGATCAAGGAATCACCCAACTATGCACTCCTAAGTCCCCTCCATATCCATCTGGAACAAGATCCTCAACCTCCTCTCCACATGCATAGAGTCAAGACTCTCCTAAGTTGCAAGGACACTATCCACAACTTACCAATGTTACAACACATACACTGTATCGTAGTGATAGTTAGGTTGATTGTTAGGTTGCAAGGTTTGCCTGAAACCAATTTAAAAAAAAATGGATCGGTGACTGGGATGCCATCCAGATAACCAATTCAGAGCGGTGGTCCGAATCGGCGGATAGGCCGGATCAGCGAGTCTAGACTTAAAAAAAAATCATTATAAATGATTTCTTTTAGATTTTCAAGAAAAAATGAGGAGTGTCCATTATGAATTTTCAATATCTTGCAAAAGATGTGAATATTGAGATACCATTTCGTGTTTTAATGTTTGTTGACCATTACATTCACATTCACATCTTGGATATGAATACACGGTCTATAACATTCTCAAAAAAGTAAAAAAGATATGAATACACGGTCTATAATGAAACTGGTTTATATATAAAATTTATATTTTTTTCGAAAAGATATTGCAATTTTCAAAACATAATTATAATTTACAATTTTCGTTATAGTTTACAAATTATTAATTTTCATTAGATATAATAATAACATAATATATAAGGATTGTATACAATGAGACCATTTATCATTAATACAAGCAGGTCACAATCAAACCTAGCATTAGATGTTAAACTTGATGGCTTCGGTTTTATATTTAAATATAACAATAACACATTTTATACAACAATAATAATTTATTGAATTCTTATTGTTAATGGAACTCAATTATCCTTCTTTATATAACAATAACAATTTATTGATTTGTTATTTTATATAACCATAACAATTTATTATTTTTGTGGTTATCTTAAATATAGGATAATTGGCAGACACAGAGGTAAGTACTTACGTTAAAATTAACTGAATAAATTAAGGAAAGGCTTTACCTCTCCATAAAACTTCAAGATCTCATTAATCCCCCATCGAGGACGCTTGAAATTTCATGGAAAGGAAGGCCTATAAATTTGACCCGTGGATGGTTGGGACAACGTGTGTATGTGACCCCATTGCATTGATGATGTGTTGCCACTACTAGGATGATAAGAAAAACAACAATTAAAAAATATTAAAAGAGGGAAGTCACCCACTCCACCACCCCTCTTTTAAATAAAAAAATTTCAAATGAAGAAATTGTACAAGAAAAGGTTGGAACTGCGTTGAGTCACCTAATTCACCGATGGAACCGGCTGGTTCCCTGACAGAACCAATAATTCTGAAAGAGAACCGAGCGGTTCTTTCCAAAACTGGCCGATTCCCGATATAGTAAGGAAACCAGTATGGTCTTACTAACTCCCAATCCAAATTGAGCGATTCCGAGTCGAATCAGCATTATTTAAAACTCTGTCTAGATCCGATTCAACAAAGCCTAGTGAGGCCAAAGTTCAATTTTGGCCTAAAATTTTATATTTCTGAATCTTAACTATGGTTTAAAAAATGATAATCTAGATCAGAATCGCCCAACCCGGATGAGGAAATCCGAATCAGGAATTAGTGGGGCCATGTTGGTGCCCTTACCATATCGGGAACCGACCAGTTCTAGAAAAAACTGCTCGGGTCTCTTAAAGAGCTAACCGGTACTCTCAATAAACCAGCCGGTTCTATCAGGGAACTAAGTGACTCTATTTGGTTCCTACCTTGTTTTTTTAATTTCTTCATTTGACAATTTTGAAATTTTTTTATTAAAAAGAGGAATGGTGGAGTGGCTCAACCCCTACTTTTATTTAGTTATCTTAGTCCATAGTTTATTTATTGACCAAGGAGTAGCCCACATCATAGACGAAATGGAACCACACTCGTGTGTTGTCCCAACCATCCATGGCCCATATTTATAGGCCTTCCTTTCATAAAATTTCGAATGCCCCTGATGTGAGACTAATGAGAGCTTGAAGTTTTATGGAGAGGCAAGGCCTTTCCTTTATGCCTTTCTTTTTCTTTTGAACATAAAGCCATGTCTTACATCTACCAATTATCTTATATTTATAATAACAAAAAAAATCAATAAAACTTTATTGTCATATGAAATAACTGTTAATTTCCTAAGATATTTATGTTTCAAAACATCCTTTATTTTTGTGTTTCTTTGATTAATTAAAGAAAATAAAATATTGCAATAATTCTTTTAGAAGTTGTCGTGCAG